CCTGAATAACTTTTGAAACAATGATTTACAGAAAAAACATAAAAACAGGTCAACAATTATACAGGAGGCCACATTTTGAAATATTCGTTCTAGAGACAAATATGGAAGCAATAAATTAGAAAAAGAGTTTTTTTATTAATTCTTGAATCAAAATCTGATGACTGAACAATAAGGAGAAAAAAAACTATAGTAAATGTTCAAAAACGTTTCCACCAACTTCCATACTTCCATTGCCGCCCTCACATGCTTGAGAATCTCGGGAGTTATTTATCTGCAATGCCTCATGATATTCTCTCTTAAATCTTCTAATGTTGTTGATTCTATCTTATACACTTTGGACTTCAAATGACCCCATAGAAAGAAATCTACAGGAGTGAGATCCGGAGACCTTGATGGCCATTCTGTAGGACCTCTTCTGCCATCCTAAAATTGTCGCACTGGAGCTGCATAATGAGGGGTGCACCATCCTGCTGAAAAACTATTTCGTTTTCAAATAAATTTATATCCTCCCCAATTGCCTTATTGATGCACGGTATTATTCGATTCTCCAACTTTTTCTCCAAATATTTATCACTAGTCAAATGATCATCGATAAAAGAAGTTAGTATGATGTGGTCACCTGAAATTCCTGCCCAAACATTCAGTTTTTAAGGTCGTTGGGTATGCACTTGACGGTATAAATGAGGATTGTATCACTTCAATATCGACAATTTTGCCGATTCACCTCTCCATTCAAACTAAACGTACATTCATCCGAAAAACAAATTTTATACAAGAAATTCTGATGCAAGTCGATCCGTTCAGTGAGACTTTCACAAAACTCAATACGTCTATCGAAAGCATCTTCGTTCAATTATGAAGGATTCTGAAAACATTTGTACGACAGATTTGATTCTCGAGATAACTTACGGATAACCACGGGACACTCGCCGATGCAAACATTTGCGCGGTGCGAACGGCGAAGCGTCTAGCGACTGAAACAAACGCATAGCAATGTACAAAAGTTGTGCATACTGATGGATACTATAGGTAATCAGCTAATCAGCTAATTAAATATTACCTCTATACATAGGATCATAGATGAATACGTAATGTAGATTAATATAGATGGATATGTATAGATAGGTAAGTACATACCTTAATGTCAAAAACAATTTCTCAGCTGCACTTAAAATTTTTTGCGCATCAAGTTTTTTCACCAATTCTGGTTGAATATTCATAAGAATATAATCGAAGGTTTCAATACTCATCCTGGTATATTCAAAAAATGTTTGTGGATATAATATGTATTTCTCGTACTTCTTGTAGAATTCTCCATCTACACCCCGATTCTTATTCAAATCATGTACTCCACAATCTCTTACAAATATTAGGTCTTGAACCAAAAAACTATTACTTTCCAAGCAATATCGANTGAAATTACTATGGATTTTCATCAAGTCACGGCCGAATCATTAAAAAAATGGAAGTAGTTGTTTCGAAAGAGTTTTTCATACCAGTTTGTATCTAAAAGTTACTTTTATGGAAGATGCATAGACAATATCTGGTGTGATCACTAGGAACCCTGCCCCATAAAGAATATTTTGTCAAAAACTCTCGACCTGCGGCACTCTTGATGAAGAAATAATGAAGAGATCAGATTTATTTCAACATTTCATTCACAGAGTTGCTGAGTACATCTCAAGTGACGCAGCTTGACAATGTCAAGTTGGCACTAATTTTCTGTTTTACTTCTGGGAAGAAATTGATAGTAGTTGAAAGATTTTTTACATTATGTCTCTCAAATCAAAGATCTCAAGGAAATACGCGCGACATATGTACATAATTGGGTAAATCTCATTTTCTCGCGCCAAGAGTTTTTGACAAAGTTCATCTATGAATGATCTACGCATCTTTGTAAAGAGTTAATTGATTTCTGAAATTTTCCAGGTTTTTTTGTATATCAGATGCTCCATGATGAGCAGATTTCAAGAAAGTATAAAATATATGGTCTGATGCTTATGGCTCGGGAGCTACAAATTATTTGAGTTGAAAACTAGCTATCCTGAATAACTTTTGAAACAATGATTTACAGAAAAAACATAAAAACAGGTCAACAATTATACAGGAGGCCACATTTTGAAATATTCGTTCTAGAGACAAATATGGAAGCAATAAATTAGAAAAAGAGTAAATGTAGGTTAAAAGCACGTGAGAGAAGAACATCTAGTATAGTGTATAAAATAACACACATACGAAATAGCCGAGGTACAATATGCAGAAGCAACACGGAACATTGAAGTCGTTCCTTCTTTCAAGAATAGGATAGCCATTTATTCCGAGAATATTGTGAAAATCGTGTACCTTTGACAGCAACACTGCAACATCTTTATCAGCGATAATTTTGTATATAAACAAAGCGGATGTTATCAAGTATCTAAGTAAATGAAATTCATTTGCAGGAATTGACGTCAGACCGTAAAAATACATTTTGTTCTGGATAAAACCTTTCCTGTTAAATTTAACAACAATCTCCCTAAATTTGTCCTGTTTTATATACAGGACGAAATTGAATGCAAAACACTATTCGGAATAATGAAAACATAAGACATAATTATCTTTCAAGGTAGAACTTACATTTCAACAACTTTTTTCTCACCTCCTGTAGAAGTAATCCGGGATCACCCTCCATCCTCCCTGTTACAGGGGGCATGGATTAAATAACCTAAATACCGAGCAATACCATAAAATAACGAATAACAAACTCCACCAACACCATAATTATTTTTAGTTCTGACTAAAGTTCATGTCGATTGCTTTAATTGCCATCACTTGTTTTAATATTACTCAATAAATTTGTATCGAAAGATGGATTGATACCGAGTCGGCGATTGCGATGGGCGACAACCCACTTTTTCCAATCGAACAGGTATAATAATATGTATGTTCAATGAAATCATAGACGTGACTAGTTTGATTTGTCATAAAAACGACGTTTCACCAGACAAGATTACCATAACAAAGCCAGCGGCGTGGAAAAATCGAGCCGAGGGGGTCTGAGCGCGACCTTAAGATTACGGATAGTATTTACGGGAGACGATCAATAATTATTGACTGATACAAGGGGTGCGGATTATTTACTCGTAAAATAGAAATTTACACTTGGCAGAGGACAGTGGTTGTCCTATACTTGTTTTACTTATTGACACTTTTCTCTGAACCGCCTGCACTTTCAACATACACATTTCTCGCCTAATAAACTAGTTTGGCGCGGCATACAACTGTGATTTTCATTTCAAGATGAAAAAACATTATCTCTTCCAGGAGTAAAATCACTTGAATTGTGGTATAGTTCGAAAGGCAACAACATACTCGTGAGTGAATAATACTTTTATCAGGAACTGATATTATTTTAGAAAAAAGCAGGAACCTGTGTCACCACACCTACTCTACAAAAGAAGATTCAATTATTATTTCATCAAACTATACAAAAATATAAGTATTATAAAAAAAAGTAAAAATTTCAACTTCAGTGTTGAACATTTTTTTCTGTCAGCTCAGTTTGGAAGTTGAATATCTCTTTATTCTGAATTACATTGTTTTTTTTCTGTTTTTATTGAACTCGAGGTTGGTTGTTAATATCTGATATCAAAGTGAAAATTTCTACATTTGAAATATTCATACAAGAAATAAATAATCAAAA